GTGCCTGGCGCCGTAGTTTACCACTCTCCCTGGTGACAGGATTCGGTGTCCACTCAGCTGACTTTCAGTCCTTCAAGAACTAGGATCTCCTCTTCTCCCCTCTTTTTAATGCACTCCGACTTGTCACACATACATTCCCGAGGGCCAGGGTTAGATTGAGGCACGCGGCCAGCACTTGTGTCATGTGGCCGTGGATGGAGTCACCAGTGTGACAGCTTAGCCCAGAATCCCCACAGAGAATGGAGGGCCCGTGGCATCTCTAAAAAGGCAACAGTAATGCCTTTGTGTGGGGCCGTCATGGTGCGTTCCGGCTCAGAGAAGCACTTTTGCATATGTTTTTCTTAGCCGCTCTCAGACTGCTGTTGTAATAAGCCCGGACGGGAAGTGTGTTCCGTTTCAAACAGGGGACTGTGGTGTCTGATGTCAGCAGATGCACGTGTGTGCGTCCTGCTGCCTTTTTCTCTGAGCAGGTAGCTGCACGCTCTCTTTCCCTAAAGGGGAAGCTCTGATTTTTCATGTTAGAAATGCACCGTGTTCCTGCGGAGTGTTTTAGTACAAGGGCTTGGAGAGCTGTATGTATGCACCTGTAAGGAAGGACTCAGAAATAGCCAGTTCATTCATGCAAACCTCCTACAGACTTCTGGATAAAGTGCGCAAATCGTATTTTCATATGGAGTTCCCAAGATTTGGGGGTAAGTTCTTTTATATAATGTAAATAGTAATCGTCTAAAGTAGAACTTTTTCCCAAAGTTTGAATTTTTCAGGTTAGCTCTTTACTTGGGGCACATAGTGCTGTAGTACCTCTAGTAACTCAAGATACTTTCATAATACTTAGGAAACTCATCTATGCCTTCTAAATTCCCCTTGCTAGAAAGTGTGACTTCAGGGGCTCGTAACCACAAAAATTGTGCACCTTCTGTAGAAACAGCTCCATTCTCTTAGCTGTCAGCTTTCTGTGCACAGAAAGCTGCCGTTTTATAGTAGCTTTTTCTAAAAGAAGGAAATACAATCAAATATATCATCTTAAGTAGGCAGAAAATTTGGGATTGAAATTTGATTTTTGGAAACATCATAACATTTATTTCATTCAAAATAAAGGTTAAGACAAAACAAAACAAGGAATACCTCCCAAAAAAGAAACATGTGAAGTATAGGTCTGGATTCAGTTTTTCCTCGGAGAAAAGTGTTTAAGCGAGCCGCGGAGAGCAGCAGAGTTAGAAGTAGCACCCCCCCCCCCAGGCACTGGGGTCGCCCCGCTCTGCACACGGGAGGAGGCCCAGGCCAGGCCCGGGAGCCAGCGCACAGTCTGCACAACGACGTGGACGGCCAGGACTCTCGGCTTCGCCCACTGCCCTGGCTGGCCCACCAGGCTGCCCTCGCTTTTTCAATATGTAATAATAGTAGTGGCTAATAATTACTGAAAGCCCACTGTGTGTCAGGCACTGCTGCGATATTTGGAGGAATCACCTCCTTTAATCCCCACAGTGGCCTTCTGTGGTAGATGCGTTTGTCCCCATTCTGTGGATAGAGAAACAGGAATAGACTTGCAAAGTGTTTCTCTTTAGGATGGAAAATAGGAATACTTCTCTTTTAAGCCAGCTTCTGTCTTCTAACTTTACATAATTTTGTTTAGATTATTATGGTATTCAACAGCTTTTTAAAAATATACTTATGTTCATAATGGATGTCTTTTTTAGTGTCATAGTTCAGACAGACAGTCACCAACAGAAGGGTGGGCAACTGATACCAGCAGTTCTGCAAAACAGCGATTAAATAAAATGTTCAACTTTACTCCTGATACAAGACATACGGAATCAACACAAACCAGAAACTGTCTCTGAACAGGCACCTTAACACACCATTTGCCTTGGCGAGCGGAGACCTGGGGTAGGAGATAGGGATATGTGGTTTCTAACCCTTTGGAGTTTTACTCAGTTACATAAGCACCGGAGTGATGCGGATTCCACATATTTAAATATAAAACAACTGTAGGAATAAAACCAGCTTTTTCCTTCTAGCTGGAAACTGCATCTGCATAGGTGGGGTATTCAGGAGTTAAAAGATACCCACGGCTGCTTACTGACCAGAACACCGCCACCATAGTCTCTTACTTTTGCGTGTCCCGTGATGGGCCACAGAACATTTCCACATTCGTCCCACCTGACGATGTAGCAACCGTGTCTTCAGCTGACAGAGAGGAAGCCGAGACCCGGGAGATTCGTGATCTGCCTGAAGCCGCACCGCTCATCTCATCAGCACACACTGCAGTGCCTTGCTTTACTTATGTTTCCTCCCTACGAGGTTCTAAACAAGCAGCACACACAGCACTGTACCCTGGGCCCCTGTCCCCACCCGGCTGCCGTGAGACGAGCAGAGCTCAGGAGGGAGTGGGGGCAGTTGTCACCTCCCTCAGGAGGGAGTGGGGGCAGTTGTCACCTCCTTTCACTGTCTGGGGACAGCTGGGAGGGGCTGTATCTAACCGAACACGTCAGACAGGGCTGCAGGAAGCACCTGCAAGTGGTGCCACTGGAAAGCACTCGAATGGGAGAGGAAGCCTCCCAGTGTCAACCTCTGCGGGCAGAGGTCATTGCCACACCCGGGCAACCTCGTCCCCAAGGTGTGGGGCTTGATGTGGCCACTCATTGCACTTGATCCAGCCTTGACTCGCCACCTCCTTTGGGGCCTTTTCACAGACTTGTTTTTCTGCAGAATGCCAGTGGTAGTCCAAGTGGAACATGACGTGTGTTTTTAAGGACCGACTAGTCAGAGGCCAAGAAATAGCTTTGCCCAAGTAGAGTCTTAGAACTCAGGTTAAATAAACCCGAAGCCTAGAGTAAGTGCCCCAGAGGCCACAGTAGCTCAAGGACGTGCCACATCATCAGGCCGCAAGCCCGTCAGTGTGGACACTTCCGCAGGTGAAGTGGGGCTTCATGCAAATTAAAGGACCGGTGCTTTCCTTAAGAAGAAAGCAGCCATTCTCTGGAAGAAGGAAAAAGCCACACGGCCTGTGTGGAATGGAAACACGTTTTTATTAAACGGGACTCTATATGAAACTCCTGAGAATTTCTTAGTAAAGCTTAGATAAATATTTCATGTAACATCTTAAGATGCAATCATTTTTAGTAATTTTAGTGCTCTGATTTCTGTTTGTTTTCAGATTTGAAAAAGCAAACATTTCTTATGCTGATTTATATCTGGAAGCTGCCAATTGAGCTCCATTTCATAAGGCTTATCTTTATAAATAAATGAAATGGGATAATAAGGAGAGCTCTACATACTTTTTTGTCAGTCTCTAGACAGAAGCAATAATGAGGAATAGCTCTGGGTCTGTCTTTTCAGGGAAAAGCAATGTTATGAGACCCTGTTTTTCTCCTGTGACGTAAGCCACAGTGTTTGTGAACACCCGTCCCAGGTAACCCCTAATTCAGGCTGACCTCAGGTCCAAACCTCATTTCTCCCTCCCACTGCCTCTGAACTCTGGAAGCTTCTGCTCTGGGTTCCCCGGCAGAATAGGCAGAACCTGCCCTGTCCAGCCCACAGGGCCCTTCGCCTGGCGCTGGGACTCTCACCAACCCAAACTGTGGGTTTTCAGAGCTTTGTTAGAATGCTAGTTTGGTGGAGTTAGCTTTTTCTGAGAGGCAGGTCTTGATTCGGGGTGCACTTTGTCTAAATGAGTATTTCATAGCTTATTCCACATTCCTGCCTGTATGTTGATGTATCGAAGTCCTTTCTGATGCATAGCATGTTCCCGATACTCTGCCAGACACTGCGATGCAACCGTGGGCACAGACGTCCTTGCCCACGGGCTGCATTTTTGTGGGGGAAGAGAGACGATGGATGAGCCAAAACTAAAGTCAGATGACGGCAGGTTATAAAAAGTGCTGTGAAGAAAAGTGAGAAAGGAGAGCGGGTGGCTGCATGCTGGTCGGTCAGGGAGGCAGGCCCGGAGGAGCCCCCAGGAGGTCCCGGGAGGCCCGGGGACGGACAGGGCAGTGAGGAGGAGGAAAGGACACGGGAAACGGGGTTGACAGGAGGAGGGCGGTGCCGCACCCCAGAGGGTCCGGGACACTGGAGTCAGGCGTTTCCAGGCCCGGTGGGCGGTCTCGAAGGGCTCTGCAGGGGAAGGACGCACTCTCATTTCTCCTTGCGGTCCCCAGAAGGCAGTGTGGCAGCTCTGTGGGGGTGACCCAAAAGGAACGGGCTGGACGGTGGGGCAGAGAGAGAGAGGCGCGAGGCCGTGGCCGGCCGTTGTGGGGAAAGGAGACAGTGGCTGGCGCTGGCCTGTGTAGGTGTGGACAGGAGGCACTGCGTCTCCGAGGTGGAGCCCACGGGGTGCTCCGGTGGATGGATCGCACACAGGGAATCGGGAGGGAGGGAGAGGATGGCGTCAGGGGTCCTGACGTGAGCCTTTGGGTGGGTGGTGGTGCCATCGATGGAGATGGGGAGACCAAGGCAGGATGGGTTTGTGGGCGGAAGTCGCCCTCTGTTTGGGAACGGAATACACAGCAGCCCCGCCAGCCGTATACAGCTCACCCACAGGGACAGCTCGTGAGTCAGGAACGCACAGGTCTGCGTGCTGGTTAGGAGTCAGGTGCCCTCGGCCTGGGCCTGAGAGAGGGGTGGGGTGTTTGAGTGACACGTGTCCCGGAGAGGAGGAGGGGGCGATGCTCGCTCTGAGGCAGCACGCACAGCGTCTATCCCCGAATAATGGAGAGTTGCTTTCTGTTAGGGACCTCATCTGCAAGGCACGTTAAGGGAACTTGCCTTCCCTCCTTCTTTCCCTAGTTCAAGTCCGTGATCCCCTGGGCTCCCAGAACCTCTAATGAGAGTTCAGAGTGAGGGCCAGGGTAGCTCCAAAATCCTCCCCACTCAGCTTTGGTCTTCCCGTGTTTCTCGAGGGGAGCCTCCCGGCGCCAACCTTCCTCCCACCCTTCTTCCTCACGAGTCCATGTCCATTTTTGTCACCTGCATTTATATATTTCCATTTATTTCCTACTTAGGTTTTATGGCAGGCACACAAAGAAACCCTCAAATGTCTCAATATGGACCTCAACAGACAGGACCATCCATGTCGCCTCATCCTTCTCCTGGAGGCCAGATGCATCCCGGAATCGGTAGCTTTCAGCAGAGTAACTCGGGTGGGACTTACGGTCCACAGCTGAGCCAGTATGGACCACAAGGTAACAAAAAAAGAGAGAAGAAAAAAGTTTTTCCAAATGCATTGCAGTGGGTCGTAGAGATTTTGTTAATGTGTTAATTTGAGATCTGAGCATTATAAACATCGTGTGAGATCCCGTTACTTGTTACCTGGCAGACATGTGAGGTTAATGCAAACCCACAGCCCCGTAGTTGCCCATGATGATGGGAAGAGTAATTATAGCGACTCTTCATTAAGTGTTTCTGCATCAGACACCGCGGTAAGTGCTCTTCACACGTTGTTATAATAAAGGCGTAAATGCTTGTTTCTGTGTAAATGCTTTAGGAAAGAGACACAAGCCTTGTCCTCAAAAGTTTCTTATTTAAAACTCGGGTTTTGTTATGTCGAATCCTGAGTTTCCCCCTCCCTCTCTGGGTGTAATTATCGCACAGTAATGTGCTCACTGTTCGGGAGGCCGTCGTCCCATTAAGTCTTCTCCCAGTTTTTCCCCGAAGTGCTGGAGCAGGTAAATGGTAGTTCTGATTTTCAGTCACCACTCGTTCTCTTAGAAGACAGGACAGAGCCTGAAAGAGACCCGGCTCTCAAAGCGGGAAATTTGTCAAGAGTACAAAAGTGAGTGGCCCTGTGCCCGAGTGCGCTGTTGACGTCTGCCTTCCTGGAAGTTGATGCGTGTGTTGTCATGTACACGGAGAGCCCTTTCGTCGAGGTTTAACCCCGGTACTTGTGTTCCGAAGTCACTTTTGGCAACCAGGCATTTGAATTCAGCACCTTTTTGATATTTTATTTAAATTAGACATTAATGCATACTTTAGAGAGAGTGAGATCATCTGGCACAATTCCCAGAGCTTCCCACTTCTGAAAATACCAGGAATATTCCTAATGAAGCTGATGCATCCCCATGAGGGAACCGTGGTAAAATGTTGGCACCTCCACGGCAGAGTTGGGGCCACTGAGTTCAGCCTTGGTATTTCCCAGAGGCCTTTGCATTTGGTGGTCTCTGCTGAGTGGGCACCCACAGGCCAGACGATTGTACAGGAGACCCAGACACCTTGTCGGCTTTGTACCTGCCGTTTCTCAGAAAGGCCTTCCCGGCTATTCGTAGTACTTTGCAGTTTGAAAATTGAGTTGCCGAGTTTCTTTAATGCTCTCTTTCCAAAGGGACTTAAGCCCCTTCCACACCACAGGTGTGGCACCGTGTCCTCACGGTGCACTTTCTTAGATCACATGCCAGCTCTTCCCGTTGTTCGGAAAACCGTGCTGGAAGCCCCCAGCCCAGCCCTCTGCTCGGGCCCCTCCCTGCCTCTGTTCTCGAATGGAGTCAGAGTGCTAGACTCCCTGCCTCCCGCGTCATCCGTGGTTCCCCGCCCCTCCCCACTTCCACACCCCAGGGAGCCCTGGGGATTTGCGTCCCCCTTGACAGGACCCTGAACCACTCAGCCGTGAGAGGGCTGCTGCCCCCACACCCTCGCTCCTCGCAGTGGCTGTCTTCACAACTGGGTTTCTTTGGCTGTCATGAAAAGAAGAAAACTTAAAGTTGGAAGGCAGATTATAAATTGTGAGAGGCCCAGAGAAGTGTGGGCTTTTGCACAGACTGTAACTGGAGACAAGGTCACAGCCTTGTTTCCAGAACGGGGTGGGGGTGGCCAGCCGAAGGTCTAGGACTTGACTGCTACCTCTCGCGGGCCTTCATGGAACTTGCCGTTGGTCTCCCCACCCGTCGGTAACTCACTCTGGGGGACGGAGGACTACCTGGTAAGTCCTCGTTTAAGAGCACAGGGCTCATCCCAGCTGCCATGTCCTTACTTACTCTGCGGAAATTACTTTTCCTGGAGAAAATGAGATGATACAACCTTAGAAGTTGCTTCTGATTCTAATGTTGAGTCCGAATTTTGCTTCAGCTCTGGAGCCTCTGACACAAACGGAGCCCAGGGCATCCGCCACACCATCTTTGGATTCAGAGTGGAAAGGGCGTCCGTTCTGAGGTTCTGGGGCGGACACACTGAGTTTAGGCTGGTAGCAGAAACAACTTCACATGAGAACGACAGTCCCCATACTGGTGCTTTCCGACTTGGAAAGACAGCATCTGTGTGTCTGCATGCTGGGTTTGCGCCTTTCCCCAGGTGACATCCAGCTGTTCCCGGCGAGGTGCGTGGCCGGCAGACCTTCAGTGCCCCACTGCAGTCGGAACCACCCGCCTCTCCTCCTCACCTGTGGTCTCCTCAGCAAGGAGACCCTCATTCCCCTAAATGACAGGCAGTCACATTCGGAACATGCACAGTCGAGTCCATAAACGGCCTTACCTTTGCATTTCTCTCTTTGTTGATCTTTTTGAACGGGGTCCCAGGGTGAAGTCTGTGTCCCTCGTTTCTGTTAACTACCCAAGTCTTTGGGAAAACATTCAGCTTGCATCTTTGTGGTGTACGTCTCAGATTCAGTGGTCACCGGCCTCATCTCTGTTTCTGTTACTGACTCCATGACTGTCTTCTGGTTTGGTTTGGCTTTTAAGTGCTCTTGGGGGGGCAAGGGGAAATACCGTACAGTGTCTTTTTCTATCTATTTTATTGTCAGGAGTAGCTTCTCCAAAATCGTTCTTAGTGATAAGAGCCAACATTTATCTGATGTCACTATGTCCTGGGTGCTGTTCTAAGTGTTTTTCATAAATTAAGTCCTTTGTCCTCACATGCTGTTATTACTCAGTCCACTGGACAGATGAAGAAACTGAGGCAGACAATAGACAAATGACTTCACCAAGATACACAGTGGTCATGCCAGCATTCAAATTCCAGTAAACTCACCCATTCTTAATTAGCAGGAAGCCCATGGCATTAACTCTAGTTTGTAAGTGAGCAGGTCAAGGAAGTTGCCTGTGACCCCACAGCTGGTACATGCAGAGCCAGGGTTCAGGTGGGTCGCCCCCCCCCCCACCTTAGGTGCCCCCTCCCCACAGGCTCCTTTGTTCTCTGTGCCAGCTGGGACACAAGAGACAGTTTGCCTTCAAGAAACGAGGGATATCATTGTGGAAACACATCAACAATTCTAGAGATTAAGGAAAAAGTTCCTATGAAGTTAGGAAGGGAAAATTTTTATTAATGTATAATGTAATTATATTACATTCATGAAGTGTATATTAATACTGTAAAACCTGAATTATTTAAGTATACAAATGGAATCAAGCCAGTATAAGTGTGTAAAATGTCCAATTGCATATATTTCGTGGAATAGTATTTTTCTACCTACAAGCAAGCGCATTTTGTAGCTGCTCCTACGAAGTGTGTGCAGGCGAGCCGCGGGACGTCCTGTGGCAGGTGGAAAGGGTTGTGTCATTGCTGTGCTCCTTGCTGACAGCCGAGTTTGTGTGGGAAGAAGAGAGGCGGACTCGGTTTCAGGGGGCTGTCCCCGGTGTCTGTGTGGACCCTGGAGCAGCGTCAGTCACACTGGCTGTCCGCAGACACTTTTCCCACATTTGTCAGTAATTGTGAGAGCTGAAAGTCTGGCCCTGGTGTTGCCTTGGGTGACAGAGACTGAATCTGCGCCCCGTTGTCCCTCGCTCGCCGGCAGGGCCTGGACCACCTCCCTCAGCTGCAGCCTGGTCCGCTGCCTCAGTTTGTGGAACATGTGCCCCAGGAAGCAGAGAACTCACGAGTGGGTGAGTCCGGTGAGCCTTTTATTTCTAAATTACATGGTAAGAGATGTTTTTCAGACAGGTTCAAGGCTTTTTCTCTGAAGTGAATTACGTGTCATCTGAAGTCTTCCTTCTCCCTTCATTAAAATATGCTTCTCATAGATTCAGCAGAGGCAAACTCTAAATGATACCTACTTGAAATGACCACAGTTCCAGAACAGTGGATTTCACAGTAATCATCGTACAGCTGTTTCGGTTCCAGAGGAACAATGTACCGGTGTCACTAGTCAGCAACTCAGCAGCTATTGGAGAATCCCTCATAGGCCCATGACAACCTCAGTGTCACCGTGACCCAGGGCTCTCGTCTCTGCTCGTACAAGCCCAGGACCTCAGTCTTGTTACTGAATGAAGCCGAATTCAGCCTCCGCCTCCAGGGGAGGCGTGTCTGCCCCGTGGATGTGTTCCCAAAGGCTGGCGCAGTTCACTCCCTCTTGGGCTTAACTCTTTTTCTCTCTTGAAATGGGTTGTAATGCGCTGGACGTGTTTACAGCTCTCTCCTTCCTTAACTGTGTTTGATGGTAAAGTGGCGGTGCCGGGCGGAAGTATTCACTCCCTATTCTGTGCCGATTTGTTGTTAGAGACGTATTCCGAGTATCTTACTAACGAGAGAGAAAGAGCAAATTGAAGCAGCCATTTTATAGCTAAAGGCACTTAATGCGGTCTTCTTTTAAGCATGAATTTTTCTTAACAGACTGGTAATTGTCATGATTCTATCAAAGCCGAGGGATTAGGAAAGAAAGGAAAGTTTAAACTGTAAGTCAATTTAAACTGTTAGAAAGATAGGAAAAGTAAAAACATAAAACAACTTTCAATTTTGACTAGTAAAGCTAACTGTTGTCAGTAATTACATTATATTGCTAATTAAAATCAACAGCACCCATGGCCCTCGCCCTGGACTGAGCGCACAGCTGCGGTGGCGGTCCCAGTGGCCTGTTAGCGCCGCTCCAGGTCTCAGTCCTGAAGTCCTGGACAGCACCATGGGGGCAGCGGGCGTGGACAAGTGGCTTTGCTTGGCGTTGTAGCAGGATGCCTTTACCCGGAACTGGCAGCTCTGCCATCTTTCAGATGTCTGTTTCAGGAGAAGGGGTTTATGGAATCACAGCTCACTAACTGTGAGAGTGGTACCCGGGGTACTATCGGAAGGGGCCCTGGGCCATCAGGCGAAGCAGATCAGAGCTCTCCCTGCAGGGGGCGCCATTCCCACACTGGCTCTGCGGGCAAGGGGGCAGGGCGCCACCAGTCAGGGCCGGGGAGGGTGCAGGCGCTGGCGCAGTGTGTGACCTTGCAGCTCTGAGACTCCTTCGTTCTGCTGCAGAGATTCTACAGTTTTATACTAAATG